AAATAATATTGATATAAATTCTTCACTCTCCACCTTAGTAGGAATATTACTTGAGATTGTTGGAAATATTGTAACAATGGAGAGAAAAATAGATGAATGAAATAGCAAGATTTGAACACGTAATTAAACGTCGTCCTCAAACGATATTTGCTTCATCTCCAATTACTTTAAGGATTTCCGGCAAATAGTTTGAAGGATTAAACAAGCCTTTTATGAAGAACACCAAAGCAAAAATGGTGTTTCTTCAATATGAACAAGTGAAAAACTTTAAGATGAATATTAATAGAAATCTGAAAATTTTTCGAAGATTATATGGATTGATTGTATATTAAAATCATGTTTGATATATCACATATTTATAGTTTATCATCAATACATCTCGGAATGGTTTCAACTTAACATGAAAAGATGCAACAATTCAGCCAAAAAGCCACAAATTTTAAATCTGGAAACTGGCCTAACGGCTCATTTCCAAAACCATGTGGCCGCAAGGCAATAGGCCTCTGGCCTCGGGCAGCTTTGGTGTGCCAGATGCGGCCGCATAGTTTAAAAACCATTAGTTCAAATGCAATCCACATATCATCCATCCTTATAGCCCATTTCAGGCCCACTTCCGAAATGATGATTTTGAACAAGAAGAATACAACAGTAGAGTCGTGTTTTTTCTCTTGTTGAGTGCTTTATTCCAAGGCCATGGAATTCCTGTGAAAGCTGATCATAAAAATGGGGACAATGGAGCCTTGCAAAACTGTGGGAAGAATATACAACAATCTAGTAGAGAAAATTAACCTTAACGCTTCATTATAAATCAAAAAATGATGATCTTGGGATTCATGTGCTACAACAATCAAAAAACAACCATAACACTTCAACAATCCAAAACAGAGAAGGCTCATCCTCACCTAGGTGAAGGCTAAGATCCAGGCAAGTTCATGTTTAAAGTAATTTCCAATAGAAACGTGGACAAAACACAGATCATATTTGATCCCAGCAAAGAAACTTTACACTGCATATTCCTTACCCCCTACTAAGAATCCTTTGAGAAACATTTCTTAGCTTGTCAAATCATAACAAGTATAACATAACCACTAACAATGCTTTTTGTCCTCCCACAGCGTTATTGGTATGCTGAACTGGTTAGTACAGTACCATGGGCAATATCGAGTCCTGTACAATCCATCATACCAAACAAACCTCAATAGTTCGACTGCTAAAACGTCTAAATACACAAAACTAATCCGACCTTCACCGTCTATGCAATCAAATTCTGAAAAAGCAAACAAACAGAAAGAAGGATACAGGACTTCGTATGCTTCCAGCATCATCTTAGATAACGAGGACTGGTGAAGGAATTCAGAGAATATCTATGATAGCACAGAGGGATTGCTTCGAATCCATGCTCTTACTCAATGACCAGAAAAGCAACCATAACACCCTGCGAGAGACAAGCAAAATATAGGGAGATACATTTTGCTTCACGGAGGGAAGAGGGGGAAATTTCTTCAACACCCCTAAAAAAGTAAAACTGCTGCGGTTAATAACAATGAAATGATCTAATAACAAAATACTAAACTTCTTCAACAGTAACACGTGCATTAACTACATAGAACAATGCTGAAGAAGCACACGCAGACCTTTGCATTAAAGGACATGAACAACTATTTAACATGTGACATATTGGCCAATGTTCAAGTCCCGTGCTTCATAACCACAAAAATATCATCCCATGTCAAACTGCAGTGTATTATAAGTTTAGAACTCAGAGAATGGTACTCTTCAACTAGCTATTATGGTAAAACTATGGAGGCATCCCTTCAATAAAATTGCCACCAAAACCAATATTCCAGGAACTACGCATTATCATTTCCAACTCATGCAAATGAAAAAATAGGCATCATGAATAAGAAAACCCCAAGAGTACTTCGTTAATGAAACTTCTATTGCTGAATAAACACGTGCATTCCATAGCATTAACTGACAAGAACAATGATTTAACATGACATCTTGGCAAAGTTCAAGTCCATAGGCCACAAAAACACCATCCCACTTCAGACTTCAGTGAATTTGTATTTTAAGCCTCATATCAACGGTAACTCTTCAACAGGCTGTTAAAGTAAAATTATCAAAATATACCTTCAACTAGAACATCAAAACAAACATTCTAAAGATCTAGGAATTCATGATTGCCAACCCATGCAAATGAAGGCGTCATTTATAAGAAAAACCAAGAGCATTTCCTACATAAAACTTCAATTCTGATGAATTACGAAACACGCTAAAGCAAAAGTTCCCAATAGATTTTGATAAAGACAGAACAAATACAGTTTGCTATCCCTTACACCATTAAAAAAACCTTAAATCCTAATCTAACTATACTAAAAAACTACCTAAATAGACAAGAAAATGCTAAATCATTGTAGCAAACTACTCAATGATATCCTACCCCCTATATACACAAGCCTCACTCACTGTAATAAACCCTCCCGTTGATAGCTGCTTCTGCCTTCTCATCTCAATCACCTTTCTATGAGAATTTGAGTGCAAGGCGCTTGAGAACATCGGACTACTCGCAGGACGGTACTCAGGGAAGAGGCGACCAGACTTGTATCGAACCCCACAAGCGTTGCAAAGCGTCTTCGGCCCCATGGGTCCAGCCCGCCACTGTGGGGTTTTGTCAACTTGGCAATGCTGGCACCTCCTCCTCATAGTAGCACCATTATTTGTCGTCATTGGTGAGGGTGGCAATGCCACTGGTGATTCTTGCCTGCTTTTCTCAACGTTCACTTGGTCCAACCACAAGCATTGCTGGCTAGTCATATTGCCCAAGGCTACTCTTTTTCTCCTTTTGTTGCTCCGTGCACGAACTGGGTAATTTTTAGGGACTTTGAGGTTGCCGCAACAGCTTACAACGGTACTGCCACTGTTATTATAAATCGAATTTTTAATACTGCTGCTACTGTTCTCAAGCACCGATACTGGGCTTGGATGGTTCAACATAAATTTGGGATCGTTGCATAAAATACCAAAGCAAGTCTCCACCTCAGGGAATGCTTCCTTGTTTGACAACCACTCCAATTCTTCCTCCTGATATTCCTGAAAACCCAATGCATATCTCAGTCTTGGATAAACAACTCAATCACGCCCCCATCGAAACAGCACTAATGGTGACTCTAATGCGCATTATAAGAACAGTTTTATAGTATTCATATCTTTCCAATAACAATGGATGCCACTTTTATTAAATAAAGAAACACCATTGTTACGTTTTCCACTTACAATAAAGTCAAATATTCCAAGTGGGCAATTTAAAAGAATATTTCATCAAGATAAAAATTGTCTTTGCAAATTAGGAAAATGAATATATGCAAATGAGCATATTCGCGCACTGACCTCAGCATTTAATTTTACAGCTCATTGACACCAATGCTCCAATGCCAATAAAGAGGATGAAGATACGTTTCGGAAAAAAAAAAATAATAATAATAATAATAAATAAAATAAATCCGAAAATGCCCTTGTCTTTTCTTTTACTGTTTCCTCCAAAATCTATGGTTCTCATTTCTCAAGGGCAAAATCGTCCGTGGAATAAAAGCTCAGAATGCTTCGTGACTACAAAAATGGCGGTATCATGAATTCCTACCCGGAAAAAAAAAAGGAAAACGGAGCGGCAGTCTGACCGGACCCCATTTTCCTTATCACACGCACGCAGTAAGAAACCAGACTTACAGGAAATGAACTGGTTTGAATCTCAGAGTTAATGACGGTTGATAGGTTCGATGATTTCAAGGAAGACAAAGAAGAACCAGAAGGGGCTTTAAAACTGGTTTTTGTTTCTTCATTTTCATCATCCAAAGTGAAGTCGAGAATGTCATCATCCACCACGAAATTTGCCTCCGTTATATCCAAAATCTCCATTTCAGAATTCCTTTATTTCGTATGGCTTGGGTTTTTTGAAATGGTGAGAGAGAAAAAGAGTCTCTTTCCGATTTTCTTATTGAGCGAGTGATATTAACGAGGCGGAGAGATTTTGGACGGCAATGAATATATGTGGAATTTTCATATTTTTGGCTTTGCTTTTTGAATTTTTTTGAAAAAAAAAATCAAAAAAGGAAGAAAGGTTGATAAAAGAGCTGTTTAGAGCATGTTTGGCTAACGCTAAGCTAGGCAAGTTTTACTTATTTACAAATAACATCCTTCAAGAAGTTCAGAGCCCATTTATCAAAGAATAAAGCAATTTGTACAATCTTTATTGACAATCCATATATTGTCAAGATCTGTGCCGTTGATTTAAAAAATAGTTTTTAAAATGAATAAGGTAGATTCTTGTCTAACTCATGATTGTCGACAAAATTGTCAAAACAACCCCTTTAACTGAACTTTTTACGACCATTGTATCTAGCTTTTGAGTCAACATTCATAGAAGATTTGTCAAAACAACCCCTTTAACTTGACTCTTTGCGACCATGGTATCTAGTTTTGAGTCAACATTAACTTCACGTGTAACAAACCAAAAGTCGTATAAAATAAAGATGCAATACATCGAAAAGAAAAGTTACAAAATCTTATAGCAATACTTTTTTCCTTATTTTTATAAAATATAAAGAAAATATACAAGATAATCAGTATTCTTTTCAAGATATACCTCAAAATTCCCAATATGAAAATTAAAGTACATTTTCCATCTATTATACATTACTTCATTCAAAATTTTGAATCTAAAATGAACCGCAGAACATGCGCGGGCCCTTTCTAATGGAAAAATCAAATTCGATGAGGATTTTGTTCATCCGAAACTACCAATCACAAGTTTCACGTTGGACCAGTATGGTTTGATAGAGTTTTTGAAAAGTCAAAAGTCTTTGTCAAAACTAAGAATGCGCTTTTAAACATATTAGAGGAAGTTGACATGGAGTAACTTTTTTAGGAAGTTTTACTACAAAAAGTAAAAAATAAAAAAATTATTGATAAACGAGCCTACGGGTCGATCTAAATGATGCTTTTATTATTTATTTATTTTTTTTTTTTTTATTGTTTTTTCCCTAGAGGAAAATACACAGAAATTGTGAGAGTGTTATTTTACAATTATAAAATAGATTCTAGTTACAGTTCCTGTGTGGTATAAATTAAAATCTAAATTTTTATCAAAATCAACAATTAATTTTAATCATATATTTTATAAGATTCACGATTTTTTAATTATATATTTCATTAACTTTTATAAAAATTTGGTAAAAATCTGATTTTATTTCCCATCAAATAAGGGTATGGAAACATAAATTACAAAATATATTGTTAAATAAAAATGAGATTCTCAGGGGCAATTTTGTCATGTCAGGTGAGTTTCCTAGACATTAACGAAAAACTGCATGCTACGTCCCGCCAACCACATCGACGCTACCACGTCAGTGAACCAATTATAAACTGACACGTATGAAATTCAAAATTTAAATTTTTCAGAAATCCTTGACTCTCCAACACACGCACGTGCAGCTGCGTGATCATGTCCGTCCACCTGTTAGGTTCAATGTTGACCCCACAATATAAATTCTTGTACTTTCATTCATCCCCCCAAGGCAAACACGGAGCAAGAACTAATCTGGGGTCCACAATTCATGTTATGTGGGGTCCATCCACGTTTCAATTTTCAAATAGAGTTGGGCGCTTGCATGTGCAAATCACTTGCAGTAGAAGGAAAAAGTCATGAACTGGTATGATAAAAATAAAATAAAAATTAAAGTTTAAGAAAAGTCATATTTACATGATTCATGGTGCCATGGAATGCACGTTTTGGGAAGTAACTAAATTTTAATTTAAATTATCTAATCAACTTTGACTTGATTTTGCTGAAAAACAGCCAAAATGCTAAAAACATGGAAATTGAGTTAATGTTTCTTCTCCCTTCCACAATCTGTATCTTCCTTATCTCATCTCGCTGGTTTCTCTCCTTCAACACATGTGATCACCATTGCACCACCACTGTCACGGCCAAACATCTCGTCACCAGAAAGACTCAAGCACCCCTCCAATCGCAGAACGGAACCATAAACAAAATAAAAAAGAAAAGGGAGAAAAGGAG